GCATCTTATTCCTAAATTTAGCAATAAAAATCAATCCCAGCAGATTCTCAATACTATGTGAATGCTTACCCATGTCACCCTTTTCGTGGAATTTGAAAGGTATGGGGGATAGAAAATTGAAAGGTGGCAAGCAACTTTCTGTCTCGGCTGATTTTTAAGGCCATGCAGAATGGCTAGAAACTTCAAGAATCATGCCGGTAAGACTCTAGTAGAAATGAGTATCAGCCATGTCAATAAGGTAACTTCATTGAAAATGAAAGACTAAAAAGCTATTGCATCAACATACCCCTTAAGACAGCGAATAACGATGATTGAAACCTTTTACAACAAATGAAAATTGACTGATGACTTGTTTGGCACCACCATCATAGACTTGCAAGTTGTAAAATCTAGCATAATAGAATTGACAAGAATGCAGTTGAAGATTCAGGAAACACAAATCAACAATTTAAAATTGAGTTTGAAAAAATTCATAAGAATAATTCTAGCACAAAATTAGATAGAAGACAAGAAGAATAAAAACTCACCATAAAGCTTTGAATGAAGTTGCAGGTGAAAAAATTTTTTATGGCTGCACTCTTCCTTTCATGGAATCAAGCTAGATTATGAGAGTCCTCATGAGAGCCGACACCACCGACAGAGGTTTCTAAATTCAGACTGCCGATATGAGACAAGGAAGAGCAAAAAGACATTGAAGAGGGATTTAAGTTTTTCTTGTTTTATTTTTTTGCATAAAATGGGATTTAAGTATCTAACAAGATATAACGAAATAAAAAATAAATGGCTAAGATTAAACTTCACGAACAACCAAGATCATCTGTCTTTTAAATAAAAGAGTGCACAGATGATGAGTTTTTGGTACTCATCATGGTGCTGAGCACCAAAACCGTACCCTAAATTTGCTTACAGGTACAAAACATTAAACAATGTAGTTTTAAAGAAAAAGAGGAGCAACAAATAAAATAGGTAAAGGAGAGAATCCAAACGCAGTACCATTAATGATGTGTTTGTGGTTTGGACAAATAATATATGAGGTCTATGTGATTCAACTTGGATGATATAGATGGTTTAAGGAAACAAATCTTGGGCTTTGTGACATACTAATAAATTTTGAAATTTGAATTTAAAAGTTGAAATACCTTAATCATTTTTTTATTTCTATTAATTCAGACCTAATCCCCTTACATCTCATATCTCTCACCCTCCATCGGTGATTCATCAATCTCTACTTCCTACCACCCCTCAATGCTCCCTTCTTATGCATTTAGCCTAGCATCTCAACTCTCCCTTTCTGTCTCTTCACCTTTTTCGGCTTTCCCTTTGCTAAAATAGGTTTTTTTTTAATAGGAAATCTAAGCTCTTTTGATTTGTCATCAACGGGAATCGAAGGAAGGTTCCTTGTGCATCTACTGTGAAGTTTGTGAAGCGCAATGAGAGAGGCATATGGTTAGGTTTTTTTTAGGATTTGTGTTCTTATCTTCTCTTCATTTATACCCATGTTTTCTCTTCTCCTCTTTGTTTTCGTTCTCCCCTCCTTCTTTTTCCTATTTTCTAAAGTATAAAGATCCAAGAAGGTCATGCTTGATTCATGTTTTGATTTCTCATTTCTCCAAAATTTCTTTTAAGTCTTTACATTGATGTCTTTCTTTTTTTTTCTCATGCAAGTTCTTTCATGATTGAGTATGTTGTAATATTTGTGTAGGTGTGTCAAAGAAAAGGCATCACATTAATTGGTAATGTGGGAGCTAGAATGAGCACATTCTTAATGAGGATTTTGTGAAAATTCAAATATTATTTTGAAATAAAAGAGCATATCAAAATAATATTTATTGACAGTATTAATGAAGAAAAACTGAATATTGAATAGTTTTAATGCCTTAAAGATGGAACAATAAAAACCTTCAATGGATGTCCATGGTTTTAATGCATTAAAGGTTTTGATTCCAATCAAATTATTTCAATGATCTCAAAGTGTTAAAGCTCTATAATCATGAACGGTTTTTATAGTCTTAATATCTCAAAGGTTTCAAAATACCAAACAGTTAAATCATAAACCATTTCAATGCATTATGAAACCCACTTTATTGCCACTATTTGGATAATATAATCATCAATTCAAATATTTGATTTGAATTCAATGAAAAAACCGACCATTGAATGTTATGCCATTATGGGTGCCAACATTCATATCTTGGAGCCTATATAAAGGGCATTGGCCAGGAGTGCAAACACACTGCTTAGATTTTTTCAGCTCCTCTCTTTCCCCCTCCTGTGTGTTCTTCTACCTACTAAATTTACCATTACCTTTTACTGTTTTGCTCATCTTGTTTTAAAAGAAAGATCCATTTAATCCTGGAGAGTGCCGCATCCTTATCTACCAGTGGTTGTAGAATAGCTCTCAAAGACAGCGTCCTTATCACATGACTCATATTAACTATTTATTTTGTAAGTGCTGACACCAACGGAGTATTCAGATTGGAAGGAATGAAGAAATAAAGATGAATGGGAACAAAGGATGAAGACCAAAATGAGCTGGGATGGATGGAGGCAAGGTGGATGGACTTCCACCTCGCTCTAGGGGGTAGGTATCCATTCATCCTCTTTTGCATCTGATAATGTTGTCACGGATTATATATATAAGCTGTAAAATACTCTCTTGTATAGTAATAAGAAACAAGAAAGGTTTGGTTTGCTGATGAGGAAAGATGAGAGGAATGCAAGTTGGGAAAATTTTTGATAAAAATGCCTATTACTACCAAGCACATCCTTAGGCAACAAGACACTACTTGACACAACTTGAAAGCCTCCCATCCCAAACCGTTATATCTCCCCCCACGTCCACAACAGAACACAAAACAAGCCACCACTAATTCTTTGTTTAGGCATGAAAAGGAAACATCGCACATCGTCATTATTCTTTTCATGCATTGCACATCAAATTAAATTTGAGAGGCAGAAAGTAAGATGAAACCCTGACCTGAACGTTATCCCACCATTGAAGTCACGACTAGGAACAAATATTTCATTAATTTAATAACCTCATACACAAATGTTTTGCCAGAAAAAAATTCAAATGAAGTGTAGGAATTAATGACACTAGCAAAAAAAATCCAAAAAGCAAAAGCCATGACATATTTTTTCCAACAAGTCAGGGGATGTTTCACCAACCCCACGATTGGGATCCTCAGATTCCACCATCCTCTCTTTGGATTCTCATAAAATGAGAGAAAGAGAGAGAGACAAACATGCCTCTGTAGTTGGAATCCTTTGCTTGTAAAGGGCACTATCATAGCAGGGAAATTCATCGAAGAAGATGAGAGCTAGGGATTAATAGGGAGAACACAGGCCCTGTTTGTCATCGTAATTAAAATCACTTATAAATATGTTTCACGTAAGCCAAGATAAAATTATTCTCATATATTTACCTCGTATTTTGTAAATTACGATTAAAAATCTTCGTATAAGCTATTTCAAACGGGTCGGGGAGGGTGAAGCAGGGTGAGTATTTGAGGGACAATGTGGCATTTTCACATTTTCATTTAATTGTAATCCCTCACATCTAGGTGTCTTCGAACTTCAAATTAATTTGCAACTTCAACGAGATATTGTATTCCTGCAAACTCAGCACACAGCATCCCAGACTTTGGTCTGCATGATGAGCTATGGGCTTATCCAGTCGCACAAGTAGCATTTTGAAGGATCAACGGGGTTTCTTTTGTTTTCTATGTGGGCTTTGTTTCTAGTTGCTTTATGTTGGGATTGCTTGTGTTGCACCTTTAAAAAAAAAAAAAGGCAATGTTTGACGCATTTGGACAAAAAAATTATACTCCTCCGGTCCTTAATATAGGACTCAATTATTAAGTTGGTTTTGGTCCTAAATATAATACCCATTTATAATATTTATCAATTTTCTCTAAATTACCCTTACAGATACTCTCTCAACATAATCAAATAAAGAGGGAAATGAGGTATTAAAAAAGATGAGTATAGTGTTTTAGGAAAAATGTGTCACTTTTCTTCTAATTAACTAACTTACCTAACTTCCTTAATCTAATCAAATTAGTTAAATGGGTCTTACATTAAGAACCGGAGGAGTATCTATTTTTACGCCTTTATCTTCTTTTTTTTCACCTTCTTAGTTGGGGGCTATTTTGATAGTTTGGTAAATAAATTGTATAATTTTTTAAGGATTCTGACGTTTGATGAAATCATGCAAAGACACACACAATACTCAATAAAAAAGAAGTCCTATAATAATACTGTCTCTGATCCTAGTTATAAGACTTTGTTTGTAAACTATAAAAGAGGTCTTATAATTAAAACAAAAGGGTAATTAAAAAAGACTACTAGAAGTGAGATTGTCAATGCATTTAGAAATCATCGCGAAATCTTTTACCTGACAAAAAAGTAAGCGCGTTTCTTTATCTCCATCACTTGCGATAGAGAATCAGAGCCAGGTTTTTTTTTTTTTTGATAAAATAAAATTTCGTGTTAGATAACAAGAGAAAGAGAAACAAACTTATTAAGCAAAGTCCATACTGGTACCTTAACAAGTGAGAATTTAACTACATTACAGAGCAGATGATACGTTAGAGGATGTGGAACTAAAGTGCTGGTGCATAACAAAACTAAGGCCATAACGGAGTGCCATTAACTAAAGTTGTATTGCACCGAGATTTAGCAGGGGAGAGATCCACCATTCATGGAATTTTATCGTCCTGAAAAATATAAGCACCTGAATGCAACGATGTGAATGTGGAGGTCTTCTGATGCGGAATTTAACAAACCAAAAATGACAAGCGATAGTCGCGAGTCCCTCCACATCAAAGTATCAAGAACATCCGTCCTTCTTATATCCCTAGTTGGATTTTGCTGAGGAATCAAACAATTTTTGGAGTGACTTTTGGATGTTGGTGATGGTAAATAGAACTACCACATAATGCGGACAGATTCCAATAATTTTATCATTTGCAATAACCATAAACAAAAGGCCGGGGCAATTGTTGGATAATGTATTAATGTTATATCTTCTCAAATCATTTTAATGGCCAAAGCCAAGACTAAATCGTTTGGCTATCAATGCAGAGGCAGTAATAACGTAAACCTGAGAACCGCAGAATGACAAATTCGATGCCTTTTTCACACTTGTACTCCTGATATCCATACATACAGAAATAAATGTACTTGAAACAACTCTAAACCATATATTAAGTACAGGCTTTGGATTTCTTTAACCATTGGCGAGCAACATCGTATACACAAAGAATATCCATCTTCATGTGCTTGACACTATGAAAATGACTCAAATTGTGAACCTCTCACGACAGAAGAAAAAAATGCAGCGACATTATTTCTTATCTGCTGTAATGCCAACAACAACATTGCTGACCTGTAACAATTAGATTTCTTCCAAGTAAATATTCTTTTCCTGAATGGAAAATCAAATTTTGTGTGCGTGCGCATGTGTTTGGAAGTACAAGGACGAGAAGAGTATTTACCAGTTTCCCACTTGCATCAACAGACATAGGATTTTCAACCAGGACAGTTTGGCTCTGTGGTACAGATTCATTAGACAACAGAATACAAAACAGCCAATACATTCTACAAATAATCATAAGTTAAAAAGTAAACGCATACAGTTGGAATAGAAGGCAATGTTCCAGAGTTGGTTGTTCCATTAGGTCTCTGGACAGGAATTGGAATCCTTCCATTGCTCATCTACAAAGAGGAAGAAGGAGGTGAAGCAGGTAAATGGTTTCAGAATCATAAATATAACACAGATTCAAAGCCAATACCATATTTACAAAATTTTATCTCAAGCTTAAACTGCATCCGCATGACCCAATCATCCTTCCCCACAAAGTAAAAACGGAAAATATGGAAACACCGGAAGGAAAATCAGGGTCTCGAGATCCCATCACTACAGATTCAGTTTCTGAAAATCGTGATCATAAACAGAATTCAGGATCAGAGCCATATATATCCTTCATGTTACATTAGAGTCCCTAACCAATGGTTTTTTTTTTCCCTTTTAGGACATCAGGCCCCAGCCTCTGTTTGGATTAAGGAACGATTAAAAAGCTAAAGGATTCTGTATCTAGCTTGGTACTGAGCTGTATAATACTTTTTTATTAAAAAGAAAGAAAGATCAAAAAGTAACCCTGTATAACACTGAAACTCCAACTTTGGAGTTCTTCACTGGAGTATTGATTGCTATCCCTGCCTTTCGTCTCCTAAGACACCCCAAAGGAAAGGAAATACAATGTATGATCTCGTTTCCATTGTGTTCCTTTCCTTTCGATTCATTTCCAAAATGAAAATAGGACATGGATAGAACGAGTCCATGATTTCAATATGGGACCAAAATTTAAAAGCCTCTCGTGAAATGATTTTTATCATCTTAAATTGGCTGAAAGAAGGGAAGATGATTCAAAAGAATCTGGGCAAACGGTTGAATTCATTGACATTTTTCAATCTGCACAAGCTATAGAGATATATGAAAATACAGAGCAAAGATGCCAGCAACAATGTTTAATCTGTCCCTTTAGTTTTTTCCCGTAATCTGATTCTCATTTGATCCCAATCATTTGACTATTTACAATAAAGAGCATTTAATGTAAATATAACACAAGTCTTGCCACACTCCCCCTGAGGTTCAATCATAGATACAAATCATGTCCAACTTACTAATACAATCTTCAAAACCTGGTTCTGAAAATCCCTTGGTATGGATATCTACAGTTTGGTCTTCAACAGGAATGTAGGTCAAGCAAACTATTCCACCTAAAATATTTTCTTTGATGAAATATCTATCTATTTCAACATGTTTGGTCTTATCATGTTGAACTGAATTGAGGGATATATTTAGAACTGCCTTGTTGTGGCAGTATTACTTTGTGCAATGCAAAATCTACCTATAATTCATTCAATAGTCTTTGAAACCACTGGACTTCGTAGATTTCTGGGGCTACTCCCCTAAATTCCATTTTTGCAAATTCCACTTTTGCACTGCTTCTAGCAATAACATTTTGCTTTTTGCTTTTTACTCTTTCATGTAGGCAGATTACCCCACGCAACTGTGCAACATCCTGTTCTTGCAATGGATCTTCTACCATCTACAAATCCTGTCCAGAAAACATCAGTGAATGCTTCTATCTTGAATCCCCTTCTTGAATAGCAGTCTTCTTCCTAAGGGACCTTAGGATCTTATATACAACTTCTAGATGCACTGCCTTGGCTAAATTTGGATTACACTTTTCCAAGCCAAAAAAAAAACTTTTAGAAAACAGACTTTTGCCCAAACCGATGTTTGGCTACATTTCAAGCTCACTCGCAGAATAGAAAATACACATGAAAAAGCTGATTTTGTAAATGCAAGTCAGAGTAGCTTTTGGCAAACTTTAATTCAGTTTGGCAAATGTCCGTTTTCTAAACTTTGAACCAAGCAAACAATACATATGTTGACTAGCAATACTTACCACAAAAGTAATGTCACATCTAGTGTGTGAGGCTTATATAAATCCACAGAGAAGTCTTGGATACCTTTCTTTCCTTGACCAATTTATCCAGGTCTCCTTCTTTTTGGTCTACTCTATGCAAGTGTCACTTGGCTAGCAACCTAATATCCTTGTTTCAATAAATAGATCAAGATAGTTTCTTTGCAAAATGCATATCCCCTTTCTTGATGATGCAACTTCCATACTGAGAAGTAACTAATTAGTCCAAGGTCTTTTCACCTCAATTTTTGTAGCGAGTATTTTCTCTACTCTATTAATCTCTTTTGCATCATCCCCAGTTATGCCAATATCATCAACATAAAGAATTAGAACTGTTATTATTTTTCCATTCATATTTGAAGACAGCGTGACCTCAAACCAAATTCTAGGAAATTGTTTTAGCCCATACAAGGACTCTTGTTTAACTTGCAAGCCTGATTATTCTTCCCTGGTTTGTTGAAGAAGCCTAGAGGGAGAGTCATATATGCCTTTTAGAAAAGCATTCTTAATTAAAGTCAAGCTGTTGAAAAGGCCCTTCCAAGTTCACAACCAAGAACAGCAGAGCTCTGCTTGTGTTCTTTTGCTAACGGTGCAAATGTCTTGGTATATGCAAGTCTGTAGGCCACCAAGTGAGCTTTACATCTTTCCACTGTTTTGCTCGCAGTGCTCTTAAAATAATAAAATAAGAAAGTCTCTTCCCCAGCGGGAAGTCAACTTCTGCGACTGTCTTGGTTCCACTTGCATATTTCAAGAGCCTTATAATGTCGTTTGGAACCTTCAACCCGTCCAGCTTAGCCATAAAAGCAAGGAACCAAGGTGATAAGGCCTCATACAAACAATTCAAAAGGATCAAGAATACAGAAATGAGTTTATTTTTCCCCAGAGTAATCAGATGATCGACATTAGAAATAGAATCTAGATACCAGAATTATCAACTTCCTTAACAAAATTTTCACAGGAACATTATATCTTCATGATAAAGTGAAATGCAGTACTGCTATGCTTTCAACGACTGATCATTGATATGCATTGACCTGCTGCACATAATTTAGATTATTTATGTAAAAGAGTATGCTGTCCAGACCAAGCCAGTACTATTAAGCAAAACACCAGCCATCAAATCATTTTGGCCAACTAAATGTATCTCAAGATGAGCGTCGTCAGATTATCCAATAAGTTGATACTCTCATGTGATCCGGACTCCTAAAATTATTTCAACTCAACCCTCACACGCAACTATGGTAAATGCAGATCCAGTTCAAGACAGAAAATCCATGCATCACAGTAAATCTACTATGTGATGGGAAGGCTACTGGCCAATCGAGAACATATGATAACCAAATTGATCTTAAAAGGACTAAAAGTATGGCACAGTTCTATTAAAAAAAAATGTATGGCACAATTAGTGATCAGAACAAACTTGGCTCGGAAGACAAGTAACCAGATATAAAAATGCAGTAATAAATCACAACTTTAGGAAGTCTAGATGACGGGATACAAATCTTGATGAATTAAGAAACCACAGAAACTTCATATGGTCAATGCAGACTTCTGTTCTAGAACTTCCAAAGCTTTCTTTTTTTTTTTTTCATTTGAGAATGGAAAGTCAATGCAAACATTTATGCTTCTAACAACTGATATATACTTACACTGACATTAGTAATATAGTGACAAACTGCACATTTGACTGATGGGGCACCAAATGGATACATGAGCGTAGTCCGGCAGTTTCCACAATGCATATGAGCGAGTTGATTAGAGGCTTTAGATACAGACGCAAAACCCACCAAAAGTATATCAGTAAACAGCTATATTCAAATATATGATTGTGCGCATAAATTACTACAATATTACAAGGAATCCATCTTAACAGGACGTGGCATTAAAATTAAATGTGAACCACGCTAATCAACGTTAATTTAAGCACCAAATATCTTGGAGCATCGGAAACAGGATTTTGTGGACACAAGACTCTTCTATTATGGCTTGACATGCCATAATGATAAGCATTGGCCAAACAAAACTCAGACTAATAGGCAATTCAAATTTCTCAACACAAACTTCCTATATTCTTCTAACCATGACGGAAAGCATTTAAATCTTCATTTATTAATGTATCACAATAACTATACATTAATATTAATTTAAAAAAACCCATAAATATAATTATCAAACTCTCAGCTCAAAAAAAAAAAAAAATTATCAAACTCATACAACATCATCTATAAAATTATAATTATAGTAAAAACGAATGTATTTGTGAGAAAATAAGCTAATAAATTTCAATGTATCCATAGAGCATTTAATCCACCCAAAACACGAACAAAAACGCAAAACAACTAACCAACTAAACAAACATCATGGTGAACAATAACGATGAGAAAGAGAGAACATGGCCCCGGGGGGGGAGGGTAAAAGGGAAATAGGAAGGGTGCCTAGGGGAGAGGGGCTCAATTCATCATTATTCCAAAACCTGATCACAATGACCTTCTTGTTCCTTTTGTGTAGTCCCTAATAGCTAATTAACAAACCTAACTGACATCCTAACTCACGCTCCCCTATTTATCACATAATAATACCCCCCCTCCTTGCCCTCAAGGTTCAAGTACAATAGTAGTGTAAATTTGTAGAAAGTAACAGAGGAACATAGGCTTTAAAATCTCGAAAATTTCTCTTGAATGGTGAAGGAATGACTAACTTAGCCTTTTTGGACTTGGGCCTATAAGATTGATCAACTTTAACACATCCTTAGGCCCATACAGCTACCTATACCGCTACCTCCTCGTCCCTTTTCCTTCTTCCTCACTTTAAGAAACCAGTACCATTTGTGGGGGCTCCCACCATATGACTACCAGCCGTGTTATTGACTTTTCCACACAAAACTGGAATACACAACCTAGTTAGAGACCTATGTGTATGAGAATCATTCCTTCTACCTAGCACATGTCCATATGCCCCTTTTCGTTGAACCCATGCTTGTGAAGATATCAAGAACATGATAAGTGATCGGTCCATTCCTCACCACATTAACACTCATCCATACACCTTGACTCTGGGATCCGTGGGAAAGAATGGAATGAACAGTGGCAGCAGAAAAGCAGAAACAGATAGCGATGGTTGGAAAAAGGGCACAAACAACAACAAAAAAAAGCAAAAGATAGCAGCAGCAAAGGAGCCAGGACAAATGGCTAAGGTGGAATGGATAGCAACAAAGGACCTACTTCTACAATAGCCTGAAGAGGTAGACACTTTGAAACTCTCATGGGCTCCAAATCAAAGCTGCAATAGACATAAGCAGACAAGCCTTGGGTGTCTCATTTAAGCAAGGCCACATCAGCAATTCTGTTCCTGACATACCTCCTTGTAGGTAATGTGCAGTTCAGAGTTCCAGCAATGATTTGCCTATTAGCCCCGTTGTCAACCAATTGATGACCACTAGTAAGAACAAGCCAAGAATCCGTCTTGACGGCGTCATGGGCCAACCCAATGGTTCACGCAACCTGTCATTTTTCTTCTTGGGAACTGACCGAACAAAACATATCTAGAACATGGCTTCTTTTTACACTTTGTTCCAAAGTTCTCACATGGCTGCTAACTCATTAATCATCACTAACAAGGTTTTTTTGTAGAATACCCCCATTTTTTTTTAGCTTCATTGTGATGCTCCAAACCCACTCCATATCCTTACTGCCGAGGATGGAGTGGCTTTGATCCCATTGTTGTGTAATAACAATAGGAAAGAGGGAGGACGAAGGAAAAGAGAGAGGAATAGAGACGGGGGGAAGAGAAGGATTCAATTTATTATTATTATTACTCCAAAACCTGATTACAATGACCCTCTTATTCCCTTTTATAGGCTACAATCCTTGATGCCTAATTAACTAACCTCACTAACTTCCTAACCAATTCATACCCCGATTTACTACACAACGCATTAGCTCAGAAGACACTTCCAATCCTTTTGTGAAACCACAAGGACCAATCGCCTTTAAGGTTTGTTTATACCTATAAGGGAGGCCTCACAAATATTGTTTTCACAAAGAAGTTTTAGCAGAAGAACCTCAGACTAAAAACTCTTCATCCCATTCTAACCACATACACCACAAGCCTATCAAGTGTCAAAGGACTTCACGGTCCTTATTGCCGCCAAAATACTTTAAAAATAGCAAGAAAGAAACCCTGAACTTGATTATAAATACTTCAAAATGGTACCACGGCTTAGTCACCAAAAAAAAAAAAAATTGCCATAGCTGTCTTCTAACATCTATGCATGAATCTCAGCTAGCAGATTCAAAATTCCATAACGATCAATTAAACATGAAATCAAAATCAAGCTTTCACAGCTGCATGAGTTGAAGTCATCCTTTTCTATAATGTAGACAAGAGGAAATAAGCAAGGATAAATTGAAAGAATCAACAGATTAACGGGTTTAGCCAATTCAATGACACAAACAAGAAATCACCCCAGGTATGAGATTTCTGTATAAATGCTGCTGTCTGGAAACACAAAAGGTAGTCACCCCATAATCAATGCAATGTGACCAAGCTTCACACATCTAGCAACAAGCAAATATATTGCACCTGACGCAAGGTTTACGGTTTGACAGCAAGAACATCTCACACTAGGAGCTCCGCGTGTGTACATTAGCAATGTCCGACAACCTCCACAATAAAGCTGAGACATTTCAATTCCTGCAAGTATAATTGAAAAACCAAGGTACTTGAGCAAGCATCCAGTTAGAGGCTGACCAATTATAAATGCTAAATCCAGCAGGCTGCATGGTGAATTTCTAGTTTCTACTCCCATGCACTCCAAAGTGAATAATACATATTTTAAACAGTGAAAGGTAGAATGTACTTTGATAGAAAATAAAATTATGTTTTGGAGGAAAGGAGGATAAGACATCCTCACAAAGAACACCAAATCCAAAGAGAAGGGTGAGAAACTTCGCCTATTAAAAAATTCAAGTAAATAAATGTAGCAAAGCAGCTTAGTCTCGTTTGAAATGACAACCCCTTTAAATTGCCATGAGCAGAGCACCAAACCGACAACATGAAAATAACCTTCCTCAGAACACTGTCAAAGTCATAGAAACAATGAAATACCCTAAAAGTTTAAGCATTATTCTTCCTAAGAGATCATTATTCATCAGTTTTCACTTAACATCTTAAAGTCTTGGGTTAAAAATAATCCTTGATATAGGAGCCTCTATGACCAAATGATTATAAATTTTATAATAGGTGTTAGGTAATATTCATGTACTATCGTATGATTAGGACAGAATCATTGCATAGGGAGTATTGATATGATATCTGTAATTGTCACAGGAAAGTTAATGGCAGTTAGACTCATTGCTACTGTTATTGACTATTGGCCATATGAACGAGCCTTCATTAGTTTCATAATGAACCATACTGCTCTTGATAACTTTTTCATTTAATAAAATACATAAAATAAAGATCCTCATTCTTTTAGATATCATGCCAAACAAATTTTAGCTTCATTCTATTCTATATCATTTTATTCTCTTGATACTCTATCTGGTAACCAAGCGAGCCCTTAATACTTCCCCCTCATAAGAAGACTAGAGACATTTTCCATTAACCATTATAGCTATATATTTTGGCAATAACAGTCTATTCTCTTTATTTTTCTCATCCCATAAACATGAATATGTGGTCAGTGGTGAAAAATCTAAATGCAAGCCACATTATTACTTCTATTTTACAATTTCCACTTCGTAACCAGTGGCCTGAGTACGTAGCAAATAAATACTTCCAACTTTGAAATAATAGCAAAGGAAATGGAGCTTACCAGGTGGAGGAACCGAGGTAACTGTGTTGCACAATGCACAACAAACATTGGTTGCCCCTCTAGGATAAAGCAAAATGCTCCTACATCCACTACACAAGAGCTGGCTCTGCATGGCTGCACTGTTAAAAAACAATACACGATTCAATTAAAAACTCAACCGAAAGAACAAGATCCAATCACCAGTGTCTTCGTATATGAGTGAGTGACATTGTCAAGAATTTTGTCATAACTGAAAGAAGAATATATTCAATGAAGAAGCTTTATTGTTAAAAACCAATAGAACATTCAATAGAAGACTCATACATAAGAACAAGTTCCAATCATTGATAGCTGTCATGTGAGATCGTCAAGAATTTGTCATAACTTAAAGGAGAATAAATTTAATGAAGCTGTCGGTCCTCATAAGGCTCTAGTGGAACTTGCACAGAAATAAGACATGAAACAAAGTCATAGATTTTTTGTGGGAAAATCCACACTACTGGACAGGGTGAGGGGAATAGAAAGTGTGCACTCCAATGTCTTCTTACATCGACAACACGAAATTTGATGGGAAGGAAAATTTGGCCAAACCCAGAATTTAAAACTTTCATCTTTCTCCGTTTCAAATGCCTTGCACGTCCCAAAATTAAGAAATATGTTCTGGCAACCAGATGGAGCAGAACAGTGAATCCAACAAGGAAAAAATGAAGAAAGAAAATTCAGGTTGGCTCTAATCTATAAGGCATGAAAAAATCTCCGCTAAATCATAGTGATCATTTCATGCAAGTTTCAGCACTCCACAAATACCTCAGGTTCCTGAATTATGTCCTGATACAAGATTCTGAAAACCAAGGAAGAAAAGGAAATATCCCCAGCGGAGACAAGCAGAGGACCAAATCCAAGACCAAGAATTGTCGATTCAAACAGATAAGTCCTCCTGTAAACTCCGCGGGGCAGGAAAAATTCGGGGCTACGTCGCGGGGAGAATCGAAAGGGGGTGATGATATGTGGTAAATTGAATTAATCTGCCCCGGTTTGTTATGGGAGCGTCGGGAACAACGATTACTTCAACGGGAGAAACGCGATCTCCTCCGATAACATTTGCCCATTATGATTTTCAAAAGGGGAAATTTCACTGTAGGAACGCAGAAGACAAATAATTTCAAAGAGCTTCAAAATTTCTGAAAGCTCACTGCAGGACCAAGGGACCAATCTGATATTAATTTTTAGAGTGAGATTACAATAATACCTCTCTCTTTTTATTTTATTAAAAAATAAATATTTACCGGAGTTACTGTTCCGGCCACCGGAGGTCGGAGGTCCGGCCATCGGCGCTCAGGTGGCCGCTGTCGGGGTCTGGTCACCGGTGGCCGGAACAGTAACTCCGGCGGGACCTCCGGTGGCAGGAGTTTTTTTGTTTAAAATAAAGTGGCCAAGGGAGGGTTTGAACCCAGGACCCCTTGGCACACCAAAAGACTTGTAACCACCAAGCCAAGCAACCCATTCAATCATAAAATGCAAATAAAACTATATATAACAAAATAAACGCAACAGTCCAAATGTAAGTGAACAAGTGAAATTAGACAATTTACAAGTGGAATTCAGAAATTTGCAACAAAAATTAGGCAATTTACAAATAACATAATAGAAGTCATAACTCCAAATGCAAGTGTTTAAGTGTAAATGAGCAAGTGAAATTTGAAGATTTACAATAAAATTTTATGGATTTACAACCCAAATTTGGCAAACACAAGAGAATTCACAACCCAAAATGTAAGTGTTGAGTGTAAGTGAACAAGTGAAATTAGACGATTTACAAGTGTGATTCAGTAATTTACAACAAAAATTAGACAATTTACAAATAACATAATAGAAGTCATAACCCCAAATGCAAGTGTTTAAGTGCAAATGAGCAAGTGAAATTTAAAGATTTACAATAAAATTTTATGGATTTACAACCCAAATTTGGCAAACACAAGAGAATTCACAACCCAAAATGTAAGTGTTTGAGTGTAAGTGAACAAGTGAAATTAGACGATTTACAAGTGTGATTCAGCAATTTACAACAAAAATTAGACAATTTACAAATAACATAATAGAAGTCATAACCCCAAATGCAAGTGTTTAAGTGCAAATGAGCAAGTGAAATTTAAAGATTTACAATAAAATTTTATGGATTTACAACCCAAATTTGGCTAACACAAGAGAATTCACAACCCAAAATGTAAGTGTTTGAGTGTAAGTGAACAAGTGAAATTAGACGATTTACAAGTGGAATTCAGCAATTTACAACAAAAATTAGGCAATTTACAAATAACATAATAGAAGTCATAACCCCAAATGCAAGTGTTTAAGTGCAAATGAGCAAGTGAAATTGTCGAATTTCACTTGCAAATCTATAAACTTTTGTTGTAAATCTTCAAATTTTATTTGCTCATTTACACTTAAACACTTGTATTTGGGATTATGAATTCCATTATGTTATTTGTAAATTTCCTAATTTTTGTTGTAAATTGCTGAATTCCACTTGTAAATCGTCTAATTTCACTTGTTCACTTACACTCAAACACTTACATTTTGGGTTGTGAATTCTCTTGTGTTTACCAAATTTGGGTTGTAAATCCATAAACTTTTATTGTAAATTTTACTTGCTCATTTGCACTTAAATACTTGCATTTTGGGTTATGACTTCTATTATGTTATTTGTAAATTGCCTAATTTTTGTTGCAAATTTCTGAATTCCACTTGTAAATCGTCTAATTTCACTTGTTCACTTACATTTGGACTGTTGCGTTTATTTTGTTATATATAGTTTTATTTGCATTTTATGATTGAATGGGTTGCTTGGCTTGGTGGTTACAAGTCTTTTAGTGTGCCAAGGGGTCCTGGGTTCAAACCCTCCCTTGGCCACTTTGTTTTAAACAAAAAAACTCCGGCCACCGGAGGTCCGCCGGAGTTACTGTTCCGGCCACCGATGACCGGACCCCGACGGCGGCCACCTGAGCGCCGGTGGCCGGACCTCCGACCTCCGGTGGCCGGAACAGTAACTCCGGTAAATATTTATTTTTTAATAAAATAAAAAGGGAGGGGTATTATTGTAATCTCACTCTAAAAATTAATATCAGATTGGTCCCTTGGTCCTACAGTGAGGTTTCAGAAAGTTTTGGGGGCTCTTTGAAATTATTTGTCTTCTGCGGTCCTACAAAAATTTCCCCTTTTCAAAACTATCTCTCTCCGGGGGGATTTTTTTTTTCTTTTTTTTCCCCAAAAACTTGCACATAAGTGCCGAGGGACACATTTGTGCTGAGTGACACAGTATTTGGTAGGATCAAAATCATAATTTTAGAAGTATTTTTATGGTATACGAAGTAAATATGTAAAGGAGTTTATTTCAATTTGTGAAAAAGTACTTCTGAAAAGTGCTTATTGAGCTTTCCAATCACCCCCTAGGTGTTTGGGTAAAAACAAAACTATAGTTTTAAAAGTATTTTTACGATATACGAAATAAATATATAAAAAAATTTGTCTCGATTTATAAAAAAGTACATCTAAGAAGTATTTTTAGTTACCCAAATACCCCCTAAATCAAGGTGGCTTCAAATCCTCATATTATTCCCAAGTCCCCATAGACTTAGACATGAGAGCTAAACATTACAATTGTAAAAGTATGATTTTGCCCTTGTTGATTGAAAACTATTGCTGCATAAGGAAGAAAAGAATGGCAAAAAAAAAAGCTCTGCAACCATTTTCATTATTTCAAATAAGTTATTTTTTGCTTCATTTTCTTTTCAAATCTCATCATTAATAATATTTATCTTCTTTTTCTTCTTAGAAGTTTAATATTGGTTTGAAAGTTGATTAAGTGAGGGAATGTATACGTATTGAGGATATGATTAAGATCAAGGGTAGTTCATTTTAATCATATACAGTCTTAATCATTTATGGTGTGATTTCATAATGATTGCTATTGACAAGTACGAGGATGTTGGTTGGCAACTCAATGGGAACCTGTTGACAATTTAGGGAGTATATGTTAACAAAAAATTTATTAAATAATATAACCTTCATAAAAGATTAAATTATAATCAAATAGTATTATATAATAACTTTTAACCTGAAATCATGTGTGATCAAATTATTCGCATTAATACTGGACGAAATGATCGATTTATAATAAAATTTTCTTACACAACCATTGACAAACTCAAGAGCGTGGCTTAACAGCTCAATGGGAATTTGTTGACAAGTTCGAGAGTGTGCTTTGGCAACTAAATTTATGGGATGGCATAACTTTAACATGAGATCAAATTATAACTAAATAGTATTAGATAACAACTTTTAAGATGAAATCATATATGATTAAAGCATCCACACTGATATTAGACGAAATGATGGGTTTATGGTATAATTTTATTGTAAACAGCAATTGACAAGCTCACCAATCAACTTCAAAACAAAGATTAAAATTCCAATGACTGTGAGAAAAAAGAAAATAAATACTGTTAATGATGAGACCTACAACAAAGATGAAATAAAAAGATAGCTTTTTTGGAATAATGGAGATGGTCAAGATGGTTACAGGGTCCCTTTTTTTCTTTGTCATGCTTCTCTCCCTCATGTAGCAAGACAAAAAACGTGTCATAAACCCTCTTCCTGTCTCTTTCTCTTTCTCAGGGTGTGTTTGGCAAGCACTCCAAACCATGGTTTTGGGACCTAAACCATGGTTTGGGAAAAATGTTAGCCAAACACCCTTAAAAAAATCAAAACCATGGTTTGGGTTCAAAACCATGGTTTTGAGAAAAGCAGAAATTTTTTACTTTTGGAGGAAAAAGGGGAGAGTGTGAGAGCCTATAGGATATGTATTGTTGTTTTTTTATAAACAAATTTTTTATAAATATATTTAATCTTATATCTTATAAATATATATACATATTAATTATTTATTAATTATATTATCTTATATATTATTAATACATGTTAATAAAAAATATATTATTAACAATTTTATTCCTTCAAATTAAAATATATCATAAAATATATTTTTTCTATAATTATCATATTAATTTATGCCAATTTGTATATATAAAAAGTACTTCTAATAACAACTATCCAAACACTCACACTTCTTAAAATCACTTTTTCACAAAACCTATTCTTCCCAAAATCTATTTTTTTCAAAATCTATTCTCCAGAAGCTATTTTCCAAACCATGGTTTGGTTTCATCCAAACACACAATCAATGAAGGCAAAATCGTTTTTGCACAAATGTAATGTTTTGATCTGAAGTTTTTGGGAACTTAGGACTAATTTCAGGATCTAAATAGACTTTAGATGAATAAATTGTGTTGCCTAGGACTTGTGTGTAATTTTTTTTTAGGTTAAATTTGTTTCCTATATATTTTTTCCCATTGTTTTCCATCCTTACATTTTATAATTTACGGTCTAAAATATTAACTCCCTTATGGTCTCTTTTTTTTTTTTTTAACTAGGGTTCTTTATGGTCTATTTGGTACAAGAAAAATGGAGAGGAAGAAAGGAGATGAAAAATTTTAATAAACTCATTTTAAAAAATTGGAGAAGTAGGGTTATAAAATTTAGATTAAAAAAATAAAATAAAAGAGTAAGAAAAATTAATTAAAAATAAACAAATAAGAAAATTTAATTAAAAAATTTTAACCCTAGTTCTCTAATTTTTCAAAATGAGCTTGGGAGAGTTTAGATACCCACCCTACAATCAATTAAAAAAAAAGTACTTTCACACAAGTTAAATAAAATTCATTTTGCAAGCTTACCTCATATATCCTAAAATTACTTATAAAAAAGCAATGTAAACATGATTTTGAGCTTATGGATATACTTTTGTGTTTTAAGCATTAACTTTGTTGATGAGGTACTAACTAACCAGGACGACGCGTATAAATGAAAATATGGAGAGGTTCAATTCCTTAAGTTTTCAAAAACTAAAATATACACTTGGTCATTTAAATTTGAGTTGAGTTTTAGTTCATTTTTTTAAATTTATAAAGTGTATTTTTAGTCCCTTAAACTTG